GATGGAGATGGATTAAGTAAATCTTGTCATAAGAGTGTGACACTGATACAGGGCACAACATGGGAGGCACACAAAGTAAATGAATTTTAAAACCCTTGGAATGCCTGTTGTGAAACATTAAGAAAGGTTTTAGGGGAGACTATGGTGAAATTTATTCAGCTGTGAAATTTGTTCTCTCTGTGAATTAGACTGGCCAAACTTAGGTGTGGGATGGCCACCAGGAGGATCTTCAATTAAAACTCTCATTGCTGAAGTCTTTTTAATAGTTGTTGGAACCCATGGACACCCAGAATAGTTCCCTTGACTGCTGGAAAGAGATAGTCTAGAAACACCCCCCTTGGTAGAGAGCCTTAGATGGACAGCTAAATTGATGTTAGCTCAGATTATACCAACTTCTAAGACCCCCCAAAAGGCAACTAAGCAGAGAAAATCTGACAAAGAAAAGGCAGAACAAGAACCAATTTTGTCCATTGAGTCAGAAGGGGAAACCACCTCCTTACATGCCACTCTACCCGACATTGTCAAGACCATGGAGACAATGGGCAGTGCCCTCAGCCCCCTCATTTCCAGAAACCACAGAATATGGCCCTTCAACACCAGCTCCTCCTTCTTCTATAAGGTCCTCAAGGCCAGAGGCTTCCCCAAGGAAAGATTCCTCCTCCACCTTGGAAGACCAAGATGGGAACCCATCCTAAGACCAGAGCCACAACCAGCTGACACTTCTTAGATGCCCCTGTGAGACACTAGAGGACCTGCCTATGTTGACCAGGAGGAAATCATCTGAGGGGCCTAAAGCATTTTTAAGTATCAGGCTTTCACCTCAAATTATCTCTAAAATTGGAAATACCATACCACCTCCTACAGAGAGAAACCTCAGACCATCATTGGTATGATGCAATTCATCATCCAGACCCACTAACCTACCTGCATGTTATGGTTTGGATGTGAGGTGTCTCCCAAAAGCTCACATGTTAGATAATGCAAGAAGGTTCAGAGGAGAAATAGTTGGCGTGTAACATTCTTAATCCAATTAATTATTTAATCACCTAATACAGATTAACTGAGTGATAACTAAAGTGGTAGGGTGTGGCTGGAGGGAGGGAATTAAGGTGTGGTTTTAGATATATATTTGTATCTTACAAGTGGAATCTCTCTCTCTGCTTACTGATCAATATGTGAGAGCTGTGTCCCTCTGCCACATTCTTCTGCAATGATGTTCTGCCTCAACTGGGGCCCGAGGAATGAATTCAGCTTTCTATGGACTAGGGCATCTGAAACTGTGAGCCCTCAAATAAACTTTTCTTGTTAAAAATTGGTCAGATTTTTTAGTCACAGCCGCTGACTAAAACACTGGGTGATCTGCTGTCAGCTACTTCTTACTCCATTCAATACAGATGAGGGCAAATGGGTGACCCCTGTGCTTTAAAATGGCTAGAGAAACATGTCCCAGATGCACAAGGCAACATCCAAGTCTATGCCCATGCCCAGTTCCCAACACAGACTCAGGGTGGGACCCCAGAAAAGATGAAGACCTCAAAAATATAAAGACATATCAAGAACTCCTCATAGGAGGCTTCAAAGAAGGGGAAGGAGAGCCCTAAACATGAACAAGATGTCAGAAGTTCTCCAAAACCTGAAGAAAGGCCCAGTCAGTTCTATGAACAACCTTGTGAAGCCTCTGACTTTTTACTCCCTTTGATCCTGAGGCACTAGACAACCAGCAGGTGGACAACGCAATCATTGTGGGATAGACCAAGAGTGACAGTCACCAAAACTACAGAACACTAGAGGGTTTTGCTGGGAAGAATGCCAGTGAGCTGTTTGAAGTGGCCACCACAGTGTTTGTCAATCAAGACCAAGAGACCCAGCAAGAAGCAGACTGAAAGATGAAGAATATGGTTTCTCCTTGCAGCTGCCCTTACTACAGACCCAGGAGTCACCCAAAGGGGCTCCCACCAGGACAAAGCCAAAACAAATATTAGAATCAGGACCAGATGCAGGGCTGAAGGATGGTCTGGACCAACCTCCTCACCCGGAGACTAGGCTGAGACTAAACCAATGCACCCACTGCCATCTAGAGGGCCACTGGGAAAATGAATGCCTCACATGAAGAAAGTCAACTGGGATCTTGCTCCTCCTTAACAGGATAAGCGAGGCCAAGTCCTGTAAGGATAATATCAGCCCTACAAACATGTCCCTCATCATGCTCAATGACAAAGTCACCCCTATGATGCTCATGAGAAAAATTTTGTGGGATTTGAGGACTTGGAAAATTATGATGAGAACTAGGACTGACTGGGCTCCATCCCTTTGGGCACCCAGAAGCCTATGGTCCCAACACTTATCGGGGACCAACCTATGAAATTTATGGTGGACACTGGGGCTCACCATTTGGTTTTGACCTATCCTGTGGGCCCACTATCAAAGAAAGAAACAACAACTGAGATGGCCCCAAGAAACAATCTCATCATCCTTTCCTGTTATCCCAGCAATTCACTTTAGAAGGCCATGACTACTTCATGGCCTGCTAAATTGAAATGCTGGGATAACAACCAGAGAAGATGGCATAAAAGGAACACAGCGGCTTCTCACTCTCCTACTTAAGGCCGGTTACAATGTCTCAAAAAAGAAAGCCCAGATCTGTCAAGAAAAAGTCAAGTTCCTTGGTTTCTGTTTGACTCAGAGTCAGTTGCAACTAGGCTACAAGAGGAAACAGGTGACCTGCTCCATTCCAGTCCCTTCAACCTGCTGTCAAATCAGAGATCTTTGGTGCTGCTCAATTCTGCTGTGTATGGATCCCCAACTTTTCAATTATAGCAAAACCCCTCTATGAAAGCACACAAAGGAAAAAACAGAATCTTCTATTTGGTGGACCAAGAAAACAAAAGGACTCTGAGGACACTAAAGAAGCACTCACCCATACACCTGGATTAGGACTCCCTGACCTCACAAAGCCTTCTTCCTGTATGTCCATGAATGGTATGGAATAGCTGTAGGGGTCCTGACTCAAATGCTGGGAACATGGCACATCCAGTGGCCTATCTACCTAATCAGCTGGACTCTGTATGTAGCCCAAGGCTTGCCACCTTCCTTATGGGCACTTGCAGCCATGGCCTTTCTGGTGTTGGAAGCTAATAAACTGGCTATGAAAAAAGAATTCAGTGTCCATGTTCCTCATTAATTTTGACATTATAAGAGTACAAAGGATATTATTGGCTGAATCATAAAAGATACCAGGGCGTCTTCTGTGAAAATCCACATAGCCATGTGTAAGTTGTCTGGACTCTAAACCAAGCAACTCTGCTGCCTACAAAACACGACAACCTATTACAACTGCACTGATGTCATGGGTGAAGCGTTCTCCAGCAGAACAGACCTGACAGACAAGGGCCTAAATAACCCTGATGCAGAATACTTCAGAGTTGAGAGCAGTTGGAGACAGCCCTGAGATTATACTCAGAAACCTGTGGTGGCTCTGAGGACCAAGGACACAATGTGGAAGGCCCTCACCACCACTGTGACAATGGGAATTTCCCAGAAGTTCAGTGACACACTGGCAAGACACTAATCCCCATTGAGTATTAATGAAGGCCATTAATTATCTAGAATACTGTAGAAGAATATAAGCATAACCAAATATTTTGAAGAGTCCTTAAACCTGCTGAAATAGAAAGGAAAGCCCTAGTTTTCACTGTTACTCTTGGGAAGGTCCTGACATAAAATGAAATCCTGGGGAAAATGCTGAGCACAACTGTGATGCTGGAAATGGCACTGAGCTCCACAGAGAGTCTGGACAATTTCCTGGGATTCAATGAGAAACTCTGAAAGATCCTGAACCTACTATTTGCTCGGGAAAGATTCAGAGACTGACTCTGAGGCTGAGAGAAGCAGTGAGCATCACTGTGATCCTAAGAATAGCACTGAGCCTCATAGAGAAGGTGTTAGAGAAGGGGACTCTGAGAATAGCTCTGAAACTCAATGAGCCCCTAGAGAAACCAATGGCACCTATTGAGAACCTTCAGGAAGGCCCAGAGATCTTACAGACCTTGGGAATGGTGCTGTGCTTCACTAAGAATATGGAAAGGCAATGAGACCACTGAGATTTTGGGGAGGGCCATGCATACATCTGTCAACCTAAGGAAGACCCTGAGCCCCATAATACTCTGAGTAGATTTTGAACACTATTGAGTCAACAGTGAATTAACTTAACCCCTCTGGGATTTTGTAGGAGTTTAGCCTATTCTAAAACCTGGGCAATAATCTGAGCACCATGAAGACCATGAGGACCTTTCTCAACATGATTGAAATTCTGGAGAAGTCCTTGGGTCCTCCTGAGGCTGTTGGGTAGGACCTGATCTTCTTAGATGCTAGGGTTGGTCATGAGACTCACTCATACTAAGAAAATACCTAAGATATTTAGATGCCTTGAAGAAAAAACTTAACATCATGAAGGCTCAGGGGCAGGCACTATGCATGACTGTGAACGTGGCAATGTTGCTAAGCTCCAATGACTACATGCGAAGGCAAAGAAACTAGTAAAACATTGGCGATCATGGTGCACACATCTATAACTCTGGAGAAGGTCCTGAGACTGTAAGGAAACAAAAGGAGACGGAAGCAAGATGCAACTGCTTGTCTAAGCAGCTGTCTTTATTTATACTGATAGGTTACAGTAGCTCACTGCACCATTAGTACATTAGGTGTTCTGGTCAAGCATGCATTAGTTATTGTAATAGTGTCTAGGAGAAACTGCAGAATGTTCCAGCTGTGGGAAACAAGACACTTCTTATTCTCTGGGAGTTTGCTCACCAGAGACACTTTCTGCTTAGCACATTTCCACAGTCAGAACTCTTACACTCCTTCTTTTTTGTTTTGTGTGGCCTTTGGATGGATAACATTTGGGTTTATTTTTTGTTTTTCAATTGGTGGATGTAAAAAATAGGGTAGGCTTTGACAACAACAAAAACAAAACCACAATCCCAATATTAGTAAACACTTACCTATGACTAGTTGTTTAATCCAAGTATCTAAACTTCCATAATCCAGTTGGACCTTTTTAATGATGTCTTTAAGGTAATCTACCTCTTTTGAAATGGAGTTACTATTGTCCCTTAAATTAAAGCAACACATACTGTTAAGATCATTACAGCCTTTACAATGTAATAATAATAAACAATGTAATAATAATAAATAATCAATTGCAACCCAATTGAAGAATGACCTAATAATTTTTTTTGTTCTTTCTTTAGCAAATTGATTTCCATAGGGTTATGATTCATACTTTTTACCCTATCATCATAGGCCAATTTCATACTTTGTTTGTAAGCTGTGACAGTCAATCCAATGAGTACAAAATTATGCAAAAGCATAGGACATATATGAAGGGGCATATATTTTAAAAAGGAATACATTTTTAAGTGAGTAGGTTTGCCCATAGTCGCAAAGCAGAGTAATAAATGAGAAATGTAAGCATGTACCTTTTCAGACCTATGGGCACTAGCCCAAATAAACCCAGAATGAGTCTTAATGGAAACATGGAGAAAGGAAAAAGGATAAAAGGCAAAGAAATGGATAATGTCCATTCCCCAACGTGCATTATAATGTAGGCCCCATGGATTTACAGATTCCCACATGGGGTCCCAGAAGGGCATACAGTGAGAACAGTTATTGACAATGACCCAAGCCTTTTGGGAAGAAATGGAAAACATCTTCATTAGTAAGTAAGGATTTTGATGAAAATAAAATAAAAGATAAAGGCGCCTCACAGCTGCATCTCTTCTGTTACTTTCCATCAGAGGTCCAGGAATTTATTATTAATAAAAACAGATACTAGCCCTCTTTGCTCACCTCCATCTGTAGACAACATTAACCCAGCTACAAGAGGAAGGGTAGAAATAAAGTCCTGACATAACAGAGACTCACTCATCATGAGACATGTGAAAAGAAATTGGTGCTAAAAAAATCTGTTAATACAACCTGATAGTAGGATAAAAATTGTAAGTATTGGAGATGTAGAATTTTTCCATAAGTGAGATATAAAACATGAATGTCCATGCCTATTAAAGATAAAAATTTTAGTGCAACCATCAGCAGTTAATTAGCATATCTATCAGCAAAAGGCAGAACATTCCAGCTTGAAAAATGAGGAGAGTGTAACCATTCTGATGTACACAATTAGCAATTACTGATATAAAGGCATAAAGTTTTCCAACAAGAATTAGCAACAATAATGGCACATTAGATGATGGAGGTAACTCACCATTACTGGCAACAATTTTCTGTTAATTTTTTATAGAGCTTAAAGAAGGCAGTGTAGTGTTGTTTCTTTAACAACTAGAAAAAATGAGAGAGCGTACCAATATTTAATGGAATATAAGAACATGCCCAATGTGAATGTACTAGAAATTGCTATAAATGGACCAAAATAAATTAGAAGGAAGTGTCAAAGTTGGGATGTGAGTAATTGAATATTTTTGAAATAATGTATATCCCAAGTAGGTGATAGGTCATTAATATTGATTTTTTTTTCTATAACAACATGGAGTTCTGATTGTAATAATACTTCCTGTAATGTTTGTAGGATTTCATCTGTGATGTTTCATCCTATAAGCAATATATCATTCATACAATGATAAAGAAGTAAATGAGAAAATTTCTGACCACAAGAGAGCAAAGCTTTATTAACAAAATATTGACACAATATTGGGCTATTTAGCATTTCTTGTGGGAGAACTTTCCAATGCAATCTATTAGTAGGCTTATGATGGTTAAAAATGGGGACAGTAAAAGCAATTGTTTTGATCTTTCTGATCATCAAGAAAAAGAAAAATCTTTTTCAAATATTGTTTTAAGTCAATGACATATAAATAAAAATCCTGAAGAATTAAGTTTGTGTTTGGTGATATGTATTGAAGCAGACCCATGGGGTTATACATTTATTAATTTCTCTTAAATCTTGAAATAATCTTAATTTTTCTGATTTCAGTTTTATAACAAAAATGGGCATATTCCAAGGCTAATAGAAGGTTCAATATATTCTGATTGTAGCTGTTCTTGAATAAAGGCCTCTGCAGCTCCACATTTCCCTTTGACAATGGCTATTATTCAACCCTCAAAGGAGTGGAAAATTTCCACTATAGTGACAAGGCAGTCAGATCTGCAGAGAACCCTATAAAAAAAAGGTAATGGGCTGAAGATGTGGCTCAAGCAGTAGCATGCTCGCCTGGCATACGTGTGGCCTGGGTTCGATCCTCAGCACCACATACAAACAAAGATGTTGTGTCTGCCAAAAAACTAATAAATAAATAAATAAATAAATAAATAAATAAATATTTTAAAAAATTCTCTCTCTCTCCCTCTCTCTCTCTCTCTCTCTCTCTCTCTTAAAAAAGGTAATTCTGCATAAATCTGGAGTTTATGTAAAATGTCTCTGCTCCATATAGGAAAATGAATTGCCATCACATATGGCTGCACATGAGTGTTGATCTGTGTTGGATTGGAAGGGGCAGAGCATTGTGACCACAGGGAGCTTTTGGACATCTGTTAATTATTACCTCCTATGTCCCAAATCAGAGTTGCCCTTTGAAGGTGCCATGTATGAGGCCATATCGGAAAAGGAATGACAATGACATTAGCACCTGTGTCCAATAATCCCATAATTGTTTTTTTTTATTTAAGTAAAGAGTCAATTTAGGTCTATTTTCAGTGATCAGTAAACATACTCCCATGACAGTAAACCAAACCTTGCATTTCCTCTTTTGTTTAAAGGCTGTTGAGCTGTGACATAGGGACTCACAATTAATTAAGCAATAGAGGATCCTCTTGGGAGGCTTCAGAGCATATGGGACCATATTGGGCCATATATTATACCAGTGTAAGCAGAATCAATTACCTCTGGATAACAAATTTTCCTTCTTTAACACTATGAGAAAGAGGGAAAAAAATATATATATAAGCATTTTTTTTGTAAAGTCTTCTGAATTTGAGTGGAAATTTTACATACCTGTCCAGGAAGCCACACTGGGCTTTTCCAGGAGTAATTAAATATATGCCAGTGTTCCCTGTAGAGGCATGAAAGGATTTCTGGAACAATGCTCTGTTTGAACCTAAGAGACACCTGTGTCTGGATTGGGAACATTTATGTCATAGGAGCTTGATGGGGCTGAAAATATGCTTTCCCTCCTTTTTACCACTTTCCTAAAGAGTTGGTTAAAATTCTTATTTATTTATTTTTATTTATGTATTTATTTTAACTAAGTATATATGACAGCAGAATTTGATTGACTGTACACAATTGCAGCAAAACTTTACATTTCTATGGTTGTACATGATGTAGCATTGCACCATATGTGCAGTCATACATGTAACTAGGGTAATGATGTCCATCTCATTCCACCAGCAGCTTTTTTTAAAAAAAAATTTAAAATTTGTTTTAATTAGTTATATATGAGAATATAGTGCATTTATGCAGGAAAAGATAATTGCTTATCCTCTGTCTAGCTAGCAGGATTTAGCCTATGGGACAAACAGCTAAGGTGAGTTTCTCCGTCCTCCTCCACTTACAGTAAACATTCAGACAAATGAGATCTAATCAGTGGTTAGAGGGAGGAGAAGGAGGAGAGGGAGGAGGAGGCGGAGAAGGCAGAGGGAACATTTCCATAAAGAATGTCTGGATCACAAGTGGCAGGTGGGTAGTAGTAGACAGAGGAGGAAGTTTTTGCTAGGAGACAAATAGCATTGGACAAAGATGCCAAGCATGTAATGGGAGCTCGCACCTTCCCAATAGCTTCTTACCTACATCTTCCCAATCTTCTCAACTTAAATAACCACTTTCTGGGTACCAAGAGCAACAAGAACTTACTTCTGCCAGCAAAGCAATGAGAGCAGCATTACATATGGCATGTCCAGCCTTGTAAAATAAATAGGAGAGCTCAGTCCAATGACATCGTTGAGCATCAGATAGGTAATTTCCCATAGCTTACCAATGGGGATCAGTACCAGCTGAGGAAAGGCATGCATCAGCCTGCTCCAGGTGATAAGCTACTCCGTTCCTCATTAACACATTCAGAAGGGTCCCTGTTTCAGATGTTCAGACACCACATTGGGCACCAGCTGTAAGAAAACAAATGAAAATGAAAGCAAGATGCAGATTCAAAATGGCTGCATGTCTAAGCAGCTGTCTTTAGTTATACCATTAGGTTACAGTAGTTCCCTGCACCATTAGTACATTATTGTTCATTATATCACTAAGTCAGATACATTGGGTTATAATGTAAGATGTTCTTGTTAATGATCGTATAGGTGTTCTGGGCAAGCATGTATTAGTTATCTTAATAGTTTCTGAGAGAAACTGGCAGAATGTTCCAGCTGTGAGAAATAAGACAGGCAAATTTTCTGTCTTCTACATTTCCACAGTTAAAACCCTTACATGAGACTCAGCAAGAATCTTCAGGGGCACTAGGTCCTTAGGAAATGGCCTGAGACTCAGTAAGATGCTGGGGAGGCCCCAAGCCACACTGTGACCCTGGGAATGACACTAAACTCAACTGAGAACCTGGGGAAAGTGCTGAGGGTTATGGAGACCCTGGCATAACCCTGAATACAGTGTGTCCTTGGGGAACTATTTGAGCCCCACTGTGACTCTGGCAATAGCACTGGACATGGACATGACTGAGACACTGCAAAAACCCTGAGAAAAAGTGAAAGCTTGGTAAAGTCATTTCCACCCCCAACAATGCATAAGACTAAACTAAGGTCCCTTGTGTGAATTTGGGGTGATGCAAAATAAAACACAGACACAAGTTTCAGTATGGCTTTCCTCAGCTCTCAGCCTCAAGGTCCACAAAAGGGACAGCAAGAGAAAATTACAAGAGGCTGAAGAGAGAAAGGGAAGCAGGTTTGGAAGTGGAAGTTTTATTTGGGGGGATGCTGTTTTCAGAAAGTTCTATCCAAAAAAGGGCAGAAGGGGTAGGACTACAAGGAGCAGGTGAGTGTACATCAACCCCAGTGGGTACAGTTACACCTGAAGCTATGTCTTGCTATCTGAGGAGGGACAGTACTCAAGTCACTATGAAATATAGTAACTGTTCAGAGTCCTCTGCCTCAGGACTGGAAGGTGTGTTCTTTCAGAGTGACTTCCCACAGGCCATGAGTCCCACTGAGGCCCTGAGCAAAACCAATAGCTACTTGAAAACCTGGGAAATATTCTGAACCACACTGAGATGCTAGGGATGTTCAAGAACATACCAAGGGAAGAAAGGATAAAACTTAACTCATGGGAATAACTCTCATATCATGATTGTGAGACAAGAGAAGACCCTGAAACTTATTGAGACCCTTGGCAAGGCCTCACAATCCGTGAAATCAGAACAAGAGAGCTTGAATCTCATTAGGGACCTGGAGAATCCCTGAAACCCAATGGTACACTGAAAAAATAGCAGAACACAACTTAGAAACCTTGGAAGCCAAGGGTTTCTCTGAAACCCAAGAGACACTTTTGAAGACCTTCAGAGTATACAAACTCATGAAAATGATCTGAACACACATGAAATATGGTGGATAACCCTGAGTCATAGTGAAATCCTGGGAAAGGTCCTGAGACCTATTGATATCTTCAGGAAAGTACTGAGGCCTACAAAGAAAATGTGGAAAATCCATGAAACAATCTATTGACTTGGAAAGCACTGGACCACAAAATAAACTGGGAAATATCTACAATTTAACATAGACACTGGTGGAGGCCCTAAAACCCACTGAGGAGATACTGAAGACCTTTAGCCCAGCAGAAGCTCTCTGGGAGAATCTGAGACACAATCATACCTAAGACCCCAAAAAGATGCTTGAAGATACCCTGAGCCAGTAAAAGCCAATTTGGAAAGCACTAAATCAGACTAAGATTCTGGAATAAGCCCTAAATTTACACTCAGAAATTTGGGGAGGCCCTGCATGCTGGTGATACAAAAGGAAAAAACCCAGAGCTCCACTATGACAATGGGAATATCCCAGAGTTTCAATGACACACTTAACAAGTTACTATTCCCCAATGAGAAACTAGAGAAGGCCATTTTTTTCCCACAGAATACTATGGGGGAATGTAAACACCACTTGATACTTTGCAGAGTCCTTAAACCCTCTGAAATAATAGGCTAGGCCCTAGACCTATTCAAATGTCTTGGAAAGACTCTGACACAAAATCACACTCTGGGAAGATGCTGAGGAACACTGTGATGTGGGGAAGAGCATGCAGCTCCACACAGACCCTGGGAAAGACCTGGGATTCAGCAAAAAACCCTGGAAAATCCTGAAAACACTATTTTGTTGGGAGCAAATTTGAGCATAGCTCTGAGTCTAGGAGAAGCAGTGAGCATTACTAAGACTCTAAAAATTGCACTGAGCCTCATGGAGCAGCTGGAAAAGACCCTGAAAGAGAAGAAGACTCTGAGAATGGATATGAAACTCAGTGAGCCTGTAGACAGGTGATGTGACCTGTTGAGAGCCTCAGGAAACCCCAAGTTCATGGTGACACTGGGAATAGAGCTGAGATACACAGTGATTCTGATTTAAAAAAAAAAAGAAAGAAAGAAAGAAAAGAAAATGAGGTCACTAAGACTCTTGAGAATGTTGTGCATATATTTGTCAACCTAAGGAAGGTCCTTGGATTTCTAAAGATTCTGAAGAAGATTTTGAATATCATTGAGACAACTGTGAGTGAGCTTAAACACTCAAAGACTCTTACTGAGGATTTAGTCTCTTTTAAGCACTGGGAAATATTTTTGATCACCACAAACACCAGGTCGAACTTGCTAAATAAGGTTGAAATTCTGGGGAACAGCCTCTAGCCCTCCTGAGACTCTAAGGTAGGACTGAGCCCAATGACACTGGGGAAAACCCTTGAAACCCTTTAATGCCCTGAAGAAGACATTTAGGATCACTAAGAGTGAGGAAAGACTCTGGGGAAAGCAGAACCTGGGAATTATATAATTTTAATGAGTGGCAGGAAGGTTGTGAACCCACTAAGATATGATAGAAGGCCCTGACACCACTGTGACCCTGGGGAATGTTCTGAGACTCAGTAACTATTAAATATAGAAAAAGAAATACCCACAAATACTGAGACCTGGGAAAAGAAATAACAAAGAAAGCCATACATTGATGACTTTCTTCTCTCCCATGATAAATCCTTCCCAGACACTGACCACAGGAAGGGAGAAAGAGTCTCAGCAAACCAAGAAGTGATAGTCTCTAGAAAACATTGATTTTCTTTAATACAACTTCTCTCCCAGTACTGGCCACCAACACTTCAGCACAAGGATTCAAATCCCTGAGTGCCCACACTGACATGCTCACTAAATCACCCACGACCTATATAAGCCCATTTCCCTCCTTTGTAGCTCATGTTCCATCAGAAAAGTGGGTGCATTTTTATTAGTGAAGTTCTATTTCTGAATAAGGGCAAAAATGATCTGGGAAGTTTGCCTGCAGCATAGTCTCTTTGTTCTAACAGTAAGAAACTGGGTTGGTCCTGATCAACACTGTGATCCTGGGTATGACAATGAACTTCAATGACAACATGGCGAAGGTGCTAAGATATTTCTGAGGGACAACATGGTGGCGGGCGGGAGAGGCAGCGCTTTCAATACCCCCTCAGGGATGGGGTCATAAAGATGCATAGATAACGCTTAGATTCTACCAACTGAGAATCTCCTAGCAAAATTCCACTGAAGAGTGATCGGCTGGGAGCTAGTAGGATTTTTTTGAAGTGACAGTTTGCCCCAGACAAGCGAATCCCCACTACGAGACGCAGAGGTCCAGTTCCACAGAGGTCCAGATCCGCCAGCCGCTGCCCGCGCACCCGCTGGCAGCCAACATGACTGGTCCCGCTAGCCTCCGAGTCGCAGCTTGGCAGGAAGAGGTCTTTAGCCAAGCCTTCATGAAATAGCCACCTGGGAGTTGAGGCCAACCTGGACGGACCAGTCCCACCCCTCCCTTCAGACACTCCGGCAAGGAGCCTGGGGCCCGCCATAGTAGAGAGGTGATGTCATCGGTGTCCCACGGAATTCCTTCCCAGCAGAATCCACTTTAGCAGGTGTGTGACTCCCGCCCCATCCAGATACAGGCAGCCAGGAAACTTCGGGGATCTCTCTGGGGGCGTGTCTGTGGGGAAGCAGAGGGGATCCCCGACCCCCACCCCCCATGTCACCAGCGGCGACTCCTAAGGTCTTAGCCACCAGTTTACCACAGCACTGGGGCTTAAATGGGACGCGCGGTGGGGCTGCAAGTGTAACTAGATCTTTGGGGAACCGCTTCCGGTGAACAGGACCTGGCTGGCCAGCTGACAGGAGGAAGGGGGGAGGGGCCGGAGAGGTGAAATGGCTCTGGACTGACAAGTCTGACAGACTCCCAGGAGACACCTTACAGGGATTGCTATTGGCAGGTAGAGGCTCTGCTCAGAGGGCACAGCTCCGCCTACTGGAAGAGAATAAAATGGATCTCTAAGACTTCAACTTTTTTTTCTGCTTCTCTCTCTGTTCCTCTCTCTCCTTTTCCTTCCTTCTCTCTTTCCCGTTTCAAGTCTTATTGTTCTTTTCATTCTCCTCTAATCTATCTATCTCTCTCTCCTTCTTTCTTTTTAAGAGCACCTTCATTCCCCTACCCCCCAACTTTCATCCCAAGCATTACGTCTTCCATTACATGTAATTGTCTAAATGCAAATAGGTGAATGTCTCAAGGCTGTCGATAGGGCTCCTAAATACCTAGCTACTATCAACACCCTGATCCAATCACCTGTTAGTCTCCCACCCTAATCCAATCACCTGTTAGTATTCTAAAGTAGCCAAGATATACTAACCCTCATACCATCATAGCACCTAATCTAAACAAAAAGTCCTAAGAACAAACAACAAATCACTATATGCATTCAGAACCCAGGAGCGTTTTATGAATTGAATGAATCAGCTTTAAAGTACAATAAAGCCCAACATTTCTAGGCATAATCTCCCACCACAAAGAAGAGACAACAGAGATATACAAAGCCAAAACAAATGTATAGGAGAAAGCAGTTACACAGCAGTCAAACAGAGCTGGAAAGTAACGTGAGCAACATGAAAAAACAA